GTATTAATATTTTTGTATTAGCAGTATTGATCACATATTTGCATAAAATTTATTAGTGTTGTGAGTATAAAAACCAAAAAAATAAATAAATAAAAATGTGTTATGTTTGGTCACATTTTCAAAGCGCCACTGCAGAGGGACCAAAGGGCCACATGTGGCCCCAGAGCCGCAGGTTGCAGACCCCTGAGTTAGAGTAAACAGATCTGGTCATTTATCTCCAAAGAAGAATATTCTTTCTTGAATTCTGATCCAGGCTGGTTGAATTGGAGCAGCCCTCTTTTAAAGCGTGACCCTCCCCACCACCACAGAGTTAAAATGGGACACTTTGCATTAAGGCTCTTGCACTGTGATTTGAATTGAATGCTAAGTTGGGTGTGGCTGTTTTGTTGGTGTAGCAGGTGAGCCAGGCTGTTAAATTCATTCCTCTGTGTGTCCTTCCTTTGTCTCCATGTCTGATTTACAAACCATCGTCAAACTTTGTGTTTTGTTTTTCATAGTCATGTGTAATAACAGAGTTTTTTTGTTTTTCTGATATGCAGCTTGGTCATCAAGTGGCATGTTGAACAGTCCACTCTTCAGATAATATTTCTGTACTGCTGTTCTGTAGCTTGTTTTTGTTTTCTGCTTTTGTTTCAAACCTGCATGTGTCCCTCCCRTAACCCCCTCACATTCTTTGTCTCCTGTCATTTTGATCTGTCTCTCACATCGGCTTGCTCCAGATGCCATCTAACAACAGCATCCGAAAGCAGATTGAGACTCTGCAGGTGAGTTATCTGGTGCCAGAGCCTGACCTGGTGCTCCCTTCTTCCTAGTGGTCCAGGGACTAATCAGGATGAACAGTAAAGTTCCACTTGCTTGGCTAAAGTTTAGTGGTTCTGCCACGAGGTCAAAGTGTTGAGGAGTGCTGAATGAACTACATACATGAAGCTGGGTGGTTTAATCCATTTGTGTTTATCTTCAGCAATGGCAGGGAGTTTATTTTACGTTTCTTGTCATTGCATGTGTGTGGAAGGACATCCCTGCAGTAGGCCTGTAACAAACAATAAATAATTAATCGCACGATAAATTAAAATGAGGCCGATTATTGTCATTTTCCTGCGTTTTTGTTTTCCTTGTGTTTCCCTCTTGTCTACACCTTAAGCTGGGTTCACACCGAACATGTTTTGAGCAGCAGGAGCGTCAGGTTTACATGTAAAGTCTATGGTGGATGTGCATCTAGGGGTCTTGTGGCGCGTCTAGAACGTTTAGTGCGGTTTGAGCGTTTTCCTTGCATGCGGCGCGTCCAAAGCAGCCGACRCTTGAGTTCAAAAATGTAACTTTTGCTGCTCCACGTGCCGCGTCAACCAATCAGAGAGAATAATTTTTCCACATGATGGTTTCCTTAGTAGCTACGTTTACATGGATATAAGTAATCGGATTAAACAGCCATTCGGACTAAAAATGCGTCATGTAAACAGCCCGTTCGGATTATTCTGATCCGATTGAGCTCGATCCGAATGAATTTTTAATCCGAAATAGAGGGGTGGGTTATGCCGATTGATAAAGTAGACCTGCAGTTGGTGTTCTGGCTGGAGATATCAGCACCGATGTGGGTCAGCAGCTCGTTAAACTGACTGCAGTGTTAAACTGGACTCAGGACAAAAAAAAAAGTTGTTCAGCTCCTGGAGTGAACTCACCCAACACAACACCTCTAAATTATCTGGTGAATTAATTATCTGGGGTCAGATTTATAAAAGATTGCGTGGAAACCATACTAAAAGTGAACGTTTGGCCAAAAGGCGGAAATGGCGTACGCAAAAAAAAAAATTCAGATTTATAAAACCGTGCGTACGCATGTTTCTGCGCATCTTTCCTTTATAAATCACAGCCGCATGTCAGAGTTTACGCACGAGGTCCCGCCACAGGTTCTACCCTCTACACGCCCACACTCAACCATAAACAGTCAATGCAAAGTACCTCATGAATGTTAAGATGTATTTAAATCAGTCAGCTGATCAATGTCAACAAAGGTGATTGGTTCAGACACGCTCCGTCATGTGTCTGGAAGATGACAGGTGYTCACGTGAACAGAATGTCTGTAACTGACACAGATTTTCCCACATTTTGCTTTAGAGTAATCTAATGATTTTAATTTAAAAATACTCAGCTTCAACTTAATTTTCCCTCAGAGCCTGCAGGACAATAAAAACAATAAAAATTAAATTAAATAAGTCAGATAAAATTAGAAATAAGTTCACCGCTCTTCTCCTTGTCCTCTCCCCCTCCTGCCTGCTCTGTTATC